TCTTTAAATTTATATTTATCATAAAAATAATTTTTAATCTTATCTTGCTAAATATGTTTTTCAAAAAATTATTTTACAAAGTAGACTGTATGCAGTTTATCTTATAAAATTATTTAAATGCCCTTAATTTTATTTTTAAATTATTTTTTAGAAATATTTAAATAATTTTTTAGGACAGACTGCATATAATCTGTCATGTAAAACAGACTAGTTGCTCATATTTATTACAAATTTTAACTAATCTATCTCTATAAAATATATCTTGAGTCATCATATTTTATTAAGATTATAATATACTTTTTTAAAACTTAAAAGACTACTCTTTTAATTAAATCTAATGAAATTTTTTTACCCGATAGACTATTTTAAAATATTTTCAAAACTTATAGACTATTTAAACAAAAAAACTAAACTTTTTATATTAAAATAAAATTAAGTTAATAGTTAATAGATTAAAAATTAAATTAAGCCGACAATGGTGGGAAGTTTCCGTCTTATTTCCACTTTAATTATTATGTCCATTCAACATCTTTATAAAAATCTCGGTGTATTTTGGTCATTTTACGCAAATTTTGCATTGACTCGCCTCTCGGCTCTTCCCTCCGTCAGCAAGTATTCATTGAAAACTCTATGATTCGACAACGGTAGCAAATTGAAAAAAATTTCAGGCTTGGCCCAATTTTTTGTGGGCCTGGGCTGTCTACTAATAGGGGTCAAAACACTTGGTGGATCTCTGTCTCTTGTTTCTGTCATGTGTCATCTTTGAACCTAACAGAAGTACTCAACTTCCATATTTACCCCGTGCAGCCTCTCTTGAGTCTCAATTAGTGGGAATGTGGGATATTAAACTACACGTGATTCTTCTTGATGTCATGGTTTTCACTTTTCGGGATTGTTCTAGCTACCATTGAATATTGATCGAATTACTAGTTGGTACTTCTAATGTCGTCGGCAGAACAGAGTGAAGCACACGGCTGCTAGCAAGGCGACTTGAACTCCATTGTATCACCCTCCAGTAGCTGTGGTTCTGGTATTGGCACATCTAAGTAGGTAGAGATCCTGCTTTTCTTTTTAGCATGATTGATTTCCTTTACAATCCTCCTCTGTATTGCATATATATATATATAGATATAAGATGTTAATTTTCCTGTTTTTATTGTTGTGATGCTGGAAATTTTTTTACCCTGCTCATTTTTCCATTACATATATTGATTTAGATGTATGAGATTGAGAAAAATCATGACAATTTTTATTTTTTATTTATAGTAATACATCATTTTGATTGATGAGGAAAAAAAAAAAGTTGTGAAAGAATATCAATCAGAATTAGTAAGGAGAAAATTGCCCGCGATTATGTCATAGCTGCTGCAAAAGTCCAATCCAATTCCTCTAGAAGTGTTCATTTTAGAACATCCCTCATGTTTCTTTCAAAAAATTATCACTACCTTCAGATTCTCCATCTTCTCCTACATAATAGCCATATTAGTCAAACCAAACATCAGAACTCAATTGTATATACAAAAATTTACCAATGTATCAAGGACAGCTATTTACAAAGGAAGAAGTCAAATCTAGACAAACTTTTGCTTGCAACTTGCACAGAGAAAAGAAAACATTCTTGCTGAGCAACTCAACTGCATTTGCTAATCCCACATAAACTTGAAACTTTGGTAGGCAAATATGGTCATGTACAGCAGTAAACTTACATGTCAGTTCTTGTTAGCATCTGACAGCTACGGACCCAGAAATCATGCCAATTTTTGTGAGAACCAACAGTTCAAGGAGATAACAAAATCACTTGCCAGTTCTTGAAGACTAAATTTAAAGCAGGAAAAGTTCCCTGCATTCAAATTTTCTGAAAGACAGTAGTTGAGAGCTACTCTAGTGCTTTGAAGCCAAAGAACTAAAATAAGATAGGGGAAGGACCTTATTCTGAAATAAAGAGCTAAGAAAAGACAATTTGGCAATATATACAAAATACATTAAAATTTTCAGACAAACACAAGTACAAATTCTTACATTAATTAATTTCCGCAAGTCCCTTGATTCCATGATGTCTTAAGTTGTTGGGAGAAATATTGGGAAAGTTCATACAAAAATAAGGTCTTTTGCTGACTGCATAAATAACTCAAGTGACGTTAACAGTTAAACCCCACTTTCCCACAAAGGGAGCAGGAGATCACCTTCCACTCCACATGCAGTTATTAAAGTTTTAACAACCACCCAAATCCCAATGATTTTTAAAATCCTATGAAATTTCAACATGAGATATTTGTCATGTGAAACAGACGAGTAATCAATAGCTATTATTACATAATAATCTTCCATTAGAGGCCCAAATAGAGCTAAAGCACAAAGAACAACATACTGAGGCCTTGAGTCTTAATCCAATTGCTTAATTAAATAAAAGGCCCTACAAATTGATTTATTAAATAAAAGGCCAACATGTAGTGTGGGTGTAGCCTCTAGTTAATGACTATGGCTGTACCATAAAAAATAATTGTATGTCTAAATATTGACCTGACAATGCTCTTCTGATAAAGCTTGATTTGATCAGATTATTTGATGCAGGTCAGTATCCATAAGTTCATACGCTATATAAACATCATTAAAAGCTTCCCTCTGTGCTGGTGGTATCATACCTCTGATTGCAACAACCTGTACGAAAAACAAAAGCAGATGTTAAATTGATATCATTTCTTCTGTCTGTTTGTTTTTGCATGTACGTGTGAACACGTGTCTGAAAATGAAAACAATGGACAAACATAGGCAATATAAGAAGTACGCATGGAACCAAACAACAAAGGCAATAACCACATCTTATTAAGTTATAACCAAATATAACATCCATGTTATGTGGTATTAATGATAAACCAATAGTCACCATAAACACCAATAGATTCAGCAAATCTACCATGTACTACATTATAACATAGTTTGGGTTTTGATAACACTCACAATATCAAATCTCTAACTAATCAAGTACAAAAAATTCACATATTTGAAGTGAACTTACTTCATAAAATAATCTAGAAAAGGACTTTATCAGCCCAAGCAGCAAAATGGGCCTAGGAAACCAAAAGGTTAACTAAAATCTCAACTAATGTCCTGTTCCTAAGGAAGGTTCGTAAGTAGTCGTGTTAAAGAATACACATGGGTTACAACAATAATCCTCTATCATTGATTATGGTTGACTCAACATGTGGAATGCACATTCTCATTGGTAATTATAGAAACAAATTGAATTATGCACAGTTTAGCTCTCCCAAGAAACGGCTGACATAAATGTATAAGCAGCCTTCTGGGAACAGCTTATTAGCAGCTCTGGAGTTATTCAACTGCCAAAGTATATTAATGAACTCAAAATCAGAATTCAATAATGCTATTCCCTTAAGTACAACACTGCTGCCTTTAACATGACTAAAAGAAAATCCAAAAAGGAAAAGAAAAAAATGTATCGCACTCTGGTTGTTGATAACATAGAAAAAGCAACAGATTGGCAATTTACACTCACTGACGTTTTCATGATCCATGTGTCGAAAAAGCTTTATCTCACAAAGTGTTCTCTTTGCATCAATCTTGTTATCAAATGCATTTGTTATCTTTTTTATTGCCACGTGCTCATTTGTCTCTGAATTCAAAGCCGAACTACAAACAAGATAACCACAGAACAAAATCAACAAAGTACCTATCAAACCCAAAAAACAATTCCAAAGTATCTTACCATTTAGCAAGTTGTAACAGGTTCTTATGATAGAAGATAACATACTTAGGGGAAAGAGAAACATTAAATGATTTTTTTTTTTTTTTGCTCCATATTTCTACAATCAAATGATTTTGCTTTGTTACCAATTGAATTATTCACAGTAATCATTGCAACCAGCAGTGTCTCTATTACTTGAAGAGCCATTTCTTTTGTTAACAACAATTTCCCTTCCAACATTTCCATTTGTGCATGATGTAAAAATTGTCCTTAGGCAAAATAACAATGCAAGGAAACAGAATAAAGGAGAACACATACCCTGGTGCGCCTCTACCATGCAAATACTGGCAACACATATGTTGGATGTGCATCATATTTGGCTGCAAGTGCCTGTAAAGAAGATAAATCTGCAACTTGCCCAAAACTACTGAGTCCAAGCTCCGTTGCATGGATCCCTCCAGTGATAAATGCTGAAGCAATTCCAGCCTCATTTGCACCCTTAATATCATGATGAAGGGAATCACCTACAGCTATAGAATCAGAAGCATCCACACCAACCATTGCCATAGCTGATTTGTATATTATCGGATGAAAGTTCAAAAAGAAGTAAATATAATCTTTGGAATCCATTTCACTTCAACCCCAAACATGTGATGTAAAGATAACCTGCAAAATTAGAAGGAAAGGAATATATTGCAAGGGGAATAAGAAACAGATCAGATTACCTTATCAGGCTTCCCCATCCATTTCACTTCAACCCCAAGCTTTTCATATTTAGCAGCCAATGTACCTAAAATATAGATACTAGCATTAATCCATTATACCAAGAAGCCATAAAGGGGATAGCTATAATTGAAGGCTGATTCTCACGAAGAAAAGTAGAACCCACAAAAAGGTACTTCGACACATGAACAAAAAAGAAATTCCTGTAGTGCTACCACAGAAAATGCTTAGGAGACTTATGGTACAAAGTTGCCAGCCTAGATGGTGTGTTTCCCTCTATATATGGCATTGCCGCATTCTACATAAGAAGAATCAAACAAGTTAAATCAGACATCTTTTCCAGGCATGATAAGTAAAGCACTAGCCTCAATGGTCACAGAGTCTGGATTAGCTACAATCATAGGAATCCTTTTAGAAGCGCATTGCTCCAATATTTTCTCAAGATCCTCAAGACTCACTGTACAGATGTTACCAGAAGGAAGCCCCAAGGCTTCAGTTCTATGGACCAAAACAAACTCAGCTTCTTCAACATTCTCCACAACTTTTAAGCTTAAATCCTATTAAAAGAGATTTTATCATGTTAACTATAAGTATCACAACTCCCATCAAAATGTTTTAAGTTGTGAACTTTGCATGCAATCTAGAAGTAACGGAGAAGGTAAAGCACTGCTAGTGCAAAAAATAAAGCATTTGATTATGGCCAACCCAATCACCACATTTTTGTTGGATTTCAATAGAGCAGCGAACAAGGGAAGGATAGAATTTGAAGTTACTTCGAAGGGCCATCTTATCCAAATTGTATTAGTTTATAGTATTGGACTTCATACTCAATAAATGGTTCACACTTCACAGCTAAATAAGATGAATATGAAAATGTTATGCCTGTGTATATGTCCACATTGCATTAGTGTACATATGCTGTGTTATATCCTTTATTTTCAGGAATTAGTATGCCAATGTGTTGTCACCCACCCAATCCATATCTACATCACACGGTAGTAGCGTGACATGCTGGCAGATTGTTTGAATTTAAACAAAAAATTACAAATTCAAGAAGCATGAGCGTGAGCATCCTAAATTCCTAATAACCTCACTACAAGCACCTTTTTCCAGAGGAAGAATCATTTTGCATCTTATGTCCAGTAAGTTCTGGTCTCAGAATTATGAAAGGCTAAGTTAATTCCCTCACATTCATCACCTTGTTGGTAGCAACCCTTAGTCTTTTCATTACTAAATTGCTAATATCCATTAAAGAAGAAAAAGGAGAGTTGAGACACAGGGTATTAAACGTTTTGAAAACTCTATATCTTACATAAAATTATAAAGAAATGATCATAAAACAATCTAACAGTAGCATACCTCAAGAGAGATAGCACCCCTGTCACTCCAGGTTATATGAATGCAAGACCTTCCTAGTGCTGCAAACCAAGGATCATCTCTCCTACAAATAGAAACCAGGAAAAACTTCTTGTGATGTATAGTTACAAAAGTTCAAAGAAAGGCAACATGCAAAATCATATTTACAACAGGATGGTTCATAAATAAGAAAAATAAATGCTGAGAATGAAAAAGAATAAATTGTTTCAATTCTTACCTCTTAGGGCTACAAAAAACTATTTTGAACAAATAAATGATTTTTCTATCTTTCTTTCCTTTTTCTTTTAGGAACATAATTGAATTAATAAATGGCTCTTTCTAAAATATGAACATTACATTGAGTAGTCTTCGATCAACAACTGAATATACACAATTTGCTAACCCAAAAATCTGGTCTAATTATATAATGCCTATTGAAAATAATGCTTATTTTTCATGAAATTGGTAAACCTTTGCAAGCATTGATGTGTTAATTCTCCACTGGTGATGGCTCCTTCAAAGAGGGAGGGATAAAATCCAAGGCTCTTCATTTTGTTCATTGTTGTTGAAGCACGTCTTGATGAAATTACTTATGATCACCATATTGGCACCATGAGTTGCCAATTTTTCTACTGTCAAGCCAGGAAAATATTTCTCTTAAGACTACAAATCATTAGCATATCACCATCCAAAAAGGCAAACAATTCTTTCTGCTGAAATGCTTACCAAAATCGTAAAACTGACAGATGGGAACATACATGTTGAAATTGAACCAGGATAAGGTTGTTTGCCATTGTGAAGGACTCCAAATTGATCTAAGAACCAGGCCTACTCAAACAACAGAATAACCAACTAAATGAATGCCAGTAAATGAAAATGCACATACTAAAAACCATAATATGAGGCATGATACAAAAGCATAAATTCACTAAACAATAACCTACATTATGAGAAAGACAATCCAAGATTTTTGTTTAATGGAGGCAATCCTAGAAATAAAGTAAAATTTTTCGGGAGAGAAAAGCAAGATTTTGCTTAAATATTAGGCAATTGTTTAAGCATTTTCTTTTTGGCATGTTCCAGTAGGGATAGTTACCCCTCATTCAATCCGTCCCTTTGAGTCAAGTTTGTACTTAGACTAAAAACTTTCAATTCCATTGATAAAAGGCCTTTCTTTAGCGCAATGGCAAAAGATTAAAATTCACCAGCTAACAAAAAAATTAAGTTCCTGTATCCAGCTTTCTAGTTCAGGCAAAATTACTTGTCTCAAAATTGAACATTTCAATAGTTAAAAAAAAAAAA